GCCTGGGGGCCGGCGCTCCCTCCCCTCTGGGAGAGGGGACCGGGAACCTCAAACACCACAGCTCCAGCCCTAGTCTCCCCCACCCCTCAGCGAGCCTGTCCCAGGGGGATTCAAGGGACACGGGGGCGGGCATATTGCAGGGATAGTTGAGGGCACCCTGGAAAAAAGGTTAGGAACGCTGGGGGAACTAGGCAGAAGGAAGGGACTGGGAGATTTGAGGGCCCGCTGGCAAAAAAGTTAGGAGTTAGAATCAGTGGCTCTGGGGATAGAACTCACCGCGGGATGTCTCTTGATCTGGCGGTATAAGCGCGCCCCAAGACTGGTTCCTGCCATATCGCCTCTCCAGTGTCTGGTCCTCTCCAGGGCCCCGCTCCCTCGCTCCTCCTGGGGTCCCGCCCCCGGCTGGGGAGGGGTCAGCCCAGCCCGGCCCAGCCCAGCCCAGCCCTTTGGATCCAATTTACCCCACCTCCACCCATTCCTCTTCCTCCCCCAGTTCCAGGCTCAGAGTTGGGAAGAATTGTTGGGGAGCTGAGGGATTTCTGCTCCTCCACTCTCTCCTTCAGATGTCTGTATCCTGGCCCACGGGGACACCACTGGGGCTTTGGGCTGGTCCTAGGGAGAGGCCTCACAGGGTTTGACCCAGACTCTGATTGAGAGGGGATGCAGAAGTGGGGGTAGGGACTCGCCATGAGACCAGTGGCAGGCAGACCCCCGGAAAAGTGCAGGTATGGAGTGTTCACAGGTGGCACCAGGGGAGGAGCAAGGACATCTGCAATGCTTCCCCGACACCCCTAAGAACAGCAATTTTCAACTGATGTGCCACAAGAATTTTTAAAACTGACTATTTAGTCAGGGGCACTAACCTCTTTTCCCTTAAATTGTCAAATAAAAAAATGACAACAGCCAACACAATAGCCGTCCAGTGTGAATAAATCACAATGATACCTATTTTTTTTCTGTCAGATAGGCAAAAAATATATTTTTTGGTGTGCCACTGAATTTTAGTAATTCGTTTATGTGTGCCATGAGATGAAAAAGGTCAAAAATCGCTTCCCTAGAGCATCCAGGAGATGGCAGGTCGTGGAGGCCCTAGTTCTGTCCCCTCCACAGTGTAGTGGAAGGAGGAGGACAGATAGTTCAACAGAAGAACTCAGGCTGCCCCAGTTGTCAAAGTTTGGGGGCTTGAGAAACTTGCTTGCCCTGCCTACCCTGGGGAAGGGTGAAGGTGGAACCACCCAAGGAGGCCACTCTCTGCCTCTGGCTGTGACGGAAAGGTGGAGAATCGAGTGCGAAAAGGTTAAGGAAAGATAGACACGATGTGGACGGAGGAAAGAGAACAAGACGCAGAAACAGAAGCACAGAGCAAGCAACTGATTGCCTCCCTTTCCACAGCCAGCTTAGGTGTATGTTACCTGTCAGGGTGAGAAGGTTCACTGTCACCATCTTTGGGGAACTGGAGATCCAGGGACCCAGGAGCCCACCCTAACTACCTCTCCCACTCCCACGCTAACCTCCACCCTACCATTCAGGCCTCGCGGCCCCCTGGGCAGCTGGATCCCACAGAGCTCCCCACCGCCCCTCCAGAGCCCTGTGGCGGCTTGGGCAGGGGCTAAATGTGCACCCACCGCTGGGCCCCTGGGTGTACAGGGAGGCCCTTCCTGGGGGCTTCCTTCCTTTCCCTGGCGCGGATACCTCCCCCGTCCCCTGCGCTGACAAGTGCGGCTGTAATTAGGCTGTGGGGTCCCAGGCTCTCCGCCTCCCTCCGACCGGTAATGAGATAAAGTGTCAGCGATACAGCGAAAACAAAGAGATAGAGACTAGCTCGGACGCGTGTGGGGGGTGGGGGAGGGGGGCTGAAGGGATGTCGGAGCCTGGAGCGGCGCAGCGCGGGTCCCTGCCTCAGCACCCGCACTCCACCCGCCGGGGAATGGGGCGTTCTGTCTCCCGTGCACCCCAGCTCTCCAATCTAGGACCAAAAATCAATCCCGGAGCTAGAGCTCGAGGGGCCACAGAGCTGGGCTGCACGTCGGACTCTATGTGACACAGCTGGTGCGCCAGGAAGCTGGCAGGGATGTCTGGCCCCTGCGCCTCGCCCCTTTGCTTCTCGGGCCCTCGCCCGCCGTCCAGGGTCCTTTCTCGTGAGCTCCGTCGGCCCGGGCCCAGCGCGCCCCCGACCCTCCGCGCCGCTCCACTCCTAGAGCCGCCGCAGATCCTCCAGCCTCGGGCGGCCGCTCCACTCTCCGAGCCCCTTATCACATGATTGCTTCTACTCTGGCCTCTCCGGGGCTCCTGGACCTTTCACCAGCTTCCGGTGCCAGTCTCTGGCCCTTTCTTTGTGACCCTGTTTCTGGATCATGATCTTTCCCGCCGACACAGAACTCCTTGGATTCCAGATCCTATCTCTCCCCATCCTCCCGCACTTTTCCAACAAAAGATCTCAGGCCAAGCTGACCCAGCGGGTGAGGGACCTCAGAAATTATTAGCAATGGATTAAGCGTGACCACGGGCGGACGACGGTGCCGGGGGACCCGATTCTGAACACTGCACCGCGCAGCACACTGCTCCGCGCGGACCACGCCTCACGTCAAAAGCAGCTGGATTCCCCGCTCGGCGCCGACTGCAGGGGCCGTGGGCGCGGACGCCCCCTGCAGGCTGAGCTGCTTCTAAGCTCTCGGGGGAGATGCCTCGGACGCCCCCTGTCGGGCCGCGTCGGCCCTGCGCCCCACGGCTTTTCGGCAAGTCAGTCCCTCGGGTGGGTCCACGCCCCGCCCACCGCTCTTGTCACTCCGGCCGCCAAGGCGGTGGGTCCCGCAGTGGGCCCGGGTGGAGGGTTCGGAGAGGAGACGCGGAAGCTGCCACCTCGCCAGCCTCAGGCACCCCAGGTTCAGGATGAGTCCCCTCGAGAGGCTGGGCGGCCCCAGGTGCCCAGGGCTCCGTCTCTGCCCAGGGACTGCCCTTTGCCCCTGCCTGTCCTAGTCTCTCTAACTGCCCTTCTTTCTGCCTTTTTCTTCTTCAGGCCCTGTCTGCCTGGCTCTGTCTATCTCTGTGTCTCTGTATGTCTGTCTCTCTTCCTTATCATTCTGGCGGTGCCTGCCTCTCGCTCTGCAGCTCTCTACCTGGCTTTGTCCTCCTGCAGCTGTTTCTGTGTCTCTGTGTCGTCTCTCCTTCCCTCTCCCTCTCTCTGCCTCACCGCGTCTCTCATTACAGATGCCTCTCTGCCGTGGTCTTTACCTCTGTCTTCCCCCTCCCAGTCACCAGTTCTAGTCCTATTCTCTGGCTTGCTGCTCCTGGGGGGGCTGCAGCAGTCCTACGGGACAGCCTGGGGACACCTTGGGGCACTGCCTGGGGTCCCCTTCCCGGTCACCTCCACGTGCCTGTCACCTCAGCGCGGGCTCTGTCTTCCCTCTGCAGCTGTGGGGCTTCGGGGCGGGCGGAGCCCAGGAGGGAAGACACAGTGCCCAGCATCTGCTCGGGAGCCCCGGGGCCCCTGACCCTCTCCGCCGCTATTAAGGGCTCCGGGAGAGGCTCTGAGACGATCATGATTGCATCAGCTAAACAGCCGAGGAGCAGGGAGCCGCTCCGAGAGCGCACGAGCTTGCGAGACAAAGACGCCCGTGCCATCTGTTTATGCAAAGCTTTCTCCGCCGGGGACCCGGGCGTCCCGGTGCGTGGCCAGGCTCGGGGCACAGGGTCATGAGCCCGCTCCTGCCTGGTGTCCCCG